GTTAGCTTGTCGATTCTGAAGTTGTTGCTTAGTCAAAGCCAGTTAAATAATTATCTGACATGCTTGTTGCAAGTCAAATACAAATGATAGCACACCGCTGCTATCATGTGTTTCTGTGGATTTTCAGTCATCCAGAATATGGGAAATTAAAAGAAAAAAAGACAAAGCCATTGGACTTTTGTTCTGTAGCTGAAGACATCTGGAGTCGCAACGATGTGCTGGAAGTGATCCAAATACAGTGTGGAGCCAGAACTTTAGTATCAACCCGGTTATAATCACAATGTTTAAGTTCTAACTCAGTAAGTACTCTGCATCATTACTTGGTATCGACAAGTACTCAAACTACCCAAACTTGGTTTGAGAATCTGTCATCCCTCAGTGTATGCCTGCCTATGTTCTTCTATGTTCTTCGCCAACTCTTCCCCTGCACTTCTGTTGCTCTATGTTTGCACATGTTCACTTTATGTTGTGTTGTTGTTTTTGGATAGCACCTCAGTCCTGGAGAAACTTTGTTTCGTTTCACTATGTACTGTACAAAATGTAAACGGTTGAGATGACAAAAAAATCCCACTTGAACTTGAACTTTTAATCCTCACGTCTTATCCTTCTATCCTTGTTTAKACTTTGTAAATAAGACTGCCCAAATTCAGCTTGGACAAAAGACAACAGAAAAGTACTGAAGTTGGATACAGAAGGATTTTCAAGACAAAACATCCCCAAAAGTTCTGTTAAATCCATCATCAAGAAATGGAAGGAATACGGAACATAGAGCAGGCTGAGTGAATATAAGAGAAGGACAATAATGAGAGAGACCACCAGGACCACTCTGAAGAAGTTACAAGCTTGAGCAGGTGAGAGAGACAGAGAGGTTCTTCTCCTGTTTGAGTTTTATGTTAAATCTCTACTGGAGTTTATCCAGATTGCTTAGAGATTCTGTTTGAGAAATAATAGTTTTTTTATGTTTGTTTGTTATTTACAGCAAATTGATTTTTGAGCATGACAGATGCACAACAGCAATAAAAGCATAAAACATCCAAGGGTGTGAATATACATATTATTTAAACGCTAAATTATTATGAACTGTAGGGTTCAGTCATTAAACTGTGTGTAAATGTTTTTTTAACACATCTCAATAATTAAAKTAATATTGTTCTTCAAAGATCTTTATCCAATCAGATTGCAGTCTCTTATAAACCAAATCAGAACAACCAAATCTCAAACCCAAAGCTCTTTTTTATGAGGCTCACAGATTTACCATCATTTAAACCAGAAAGAGACAAAAAAAGTGTTTTTACCTGAATTTGACCACATGTTTAATTGTTAATTGTTTGTTAAAGTTAATTATCTTGTGTTTTCTCTGTACCTCGACTTCATAAATATGAAAATTTCCTCTCTTTTTTCTTTCTTTGCAGAACAGCTTAATTTTGTTTCTTGAAAATATTTTATTATTTTTTTATTTTTAATTTTTTTTTCTAATTCCCCCTGTGATAGAAGCAGTGTGATTGGCCGCCTCGACAGGAATAAAYGCCACAAATCCAGGCCGGGAGAAGGAGTCACTGTGTTTTATGAGCCATTAAAGTTTTATTCATCCCTGCACAGAGGCAGCCTTCAGCCACGGGGTCACCATGCTTTAAATAAACTCCCACCCCCACTTTCCACCACCTCCCCCCAATATCAGTCTTCTCACCCACCACCCCTTCCTCTTCCTCCACCCTAAAAAAAAAAAGAAAAAAAAAAACCTTCCACCCACAGACTTAATGGACTGTTTATTGT